ACAAAGGAAGACATAACACGTTGGCAGCTGCATTTATTTTTCAATCTGTTAAAATGAAAACAACCAATCACCTTTGACTACCCATAACAATGAAATTTAAAGATATATTGCGAACCAAAACATAATAAAAAATATCTCAATAACCCCCCACTATTCTCACTGAATCTTAGGGACAAGGAAGGGAAATGCAGAATTATGAAACAAGTTCTACAGAGGCAAAAGTAGGGGGATGTGGAAAATTAGTTTTATATTAGGGGAAAAAAGTAGAAATTGTAGAAGAAGAAAAAACACGGCCTATTTTGGAGTAAGCACAGAAAGACAGCAAAATAATTCTCTTTGCTCTTTCCTCTCCAACATTTCTTTGCCCCCTCTCCCATTTAGTAAATCAATAGGAAGCTGCCTTGCACAGAAGGTAATACACTTTGGAGGAGGATCACCTTTACAGCCTAATGATTGTCATCCATTTTTATGGCGTAAATGAACAGCATCATCTCCCTACCTCCTCCTCCTATAAAAATAGATTAAAAAAAAAACAAAATAAACCTTGTGAGAGGGGACTTAAATCTTTGACTGGCACCACTGAGGTGACGTCTTCACACTTCAGTGGGCTAAGCCAGCTGGCCGAGGGGCTGAGAAGTGAGCTAACCCAGTAAGCTTCCTGAAGACTAGCCAGGAGACAGAGAGGGAGAGCAGCAAAGGTGCAAAGATGGGGGAAGCAGGGGGAAGTGGATCCAGAGCAGACATTGGTTAGTATTCTAGGGTAGGAGCCTTGATCCCAGGGTCTTCATCTGGCTCCAAGTTGAAACAGAAGGGACAAGCACCCAAACCAAACCAAAGCAAAAGAAAACCCACCATACTGCACAACATGGGGTCAAGGGAGACATTTCCTTCCCAAATGGACCTAAATGGTTAAATGGATCCTGGCAATTAGAATAATTAGATAATTAGATTGTGACTCTGTAGGCAAGAGAGGGAACCTGCCTTGGCTAAGTACACTTGGTAGTGAAATGTGCTCAATTACAAATGCAGTGCATTCTCAGTAAGCAAGTATATTTCAAATGGCTTGAAAAAAATAATAGACTGAAGATTTGCAGCTAATGGGTTAGGTTTAGCCAGCAAAAGGGATTTTGCCTGGGGCTTCATTAGAGCTTGTGCTCCTAAGTCCCACTCTCAGTCCCACCACCACCATTGCTCCTCCATCAGTGGATTTTTATTTAAGCCAACATGTTTAGAGCACAATTCCATGGTGAATAACCTTTAAGGTTACATTTGCCTTTTCCCTGCTTCTTGCAAACAGTGCGTAATCTGCGAGCACATTTGTTGGCTGCAAAGGTGTACAACAGCAATTTTTGCAATGACAGTGCGGAGAAGGAATATGAGATCTGTGTGCTAATGAGCTGACACTGCAGAGGCTGGGGCGGCATAGTGTGGAGTGCACTACAAGTGCCCAGCAGCAAGACACAGGAGGAGACTTCAAGGGAATCAGCGACGTTTCCTGAGGAATCAAGGCAGCCAAGCCACCAATGGGGCACAGTAGTCCCCTGGTGTTTTCACACCCTCCCCCAAAGCTTGAAGACAATCAAATCTGTTTTTAAAGAATAAATATATAACTTACAACATGTGTGTATAATTGTTTTCACATATATTGATTGTGTGTGTATGAGCATCTATGTATGTTTATGAATGCATGTATCCTGAATCCAGAATATTTACTTCATCCTTCTTTCTGACTTTATTTAGTTAAATTGAAAAGCAAGGCAGCAAATTCTATTAATTCTTATGAAATGGGAATATGTGTTCTAAATCAGATGAGTCTCTTCTATAAACTTCAATTGACTTCTGAGATCCCAAATGAACTACCTTTCAAAGCCAGGGAGACTTTTATTGGCCTCTGAAGGCACAGAATGAAGTTGGAGTCTGTCTTAAGCAAAGCTCTTGAGGCTTGTGCAAAAAGTTGGTTGCTAGTAAAGAAGAGTCTTTAAATAACTGGTGCCTAGTATTCACTTCAAGAAATCCTTCTGAATATATTGTCGGGGGTAAGGGGGGAAATGTAGAGGAAGACTCCCAGGAAGGGACACATACAGAAAACATTACTATTTGTTTATTCTTTGTGTACCTGTTCACTTTCATACCTTGAAAGCATGTGCCTGCCTCAGAATTGAATGTGAAGAAAAAATCATGAGAAGAGATCAATTTTAGTGCTAGGGGAAGCTGAAACGGGGAATTCTGCATGTTAGCAGAGGAACCTTTCTTTTATTTTTGCCAGCCCACTTTATATTTAATCAGAGAGGAGATGCGACCAGATTTGGACTCCTCTGAGATTTCCCTACATTCTCCCTTGTTTTTCAGGGAAGGGCACGCTCGAGGATGCAGGTGTTTTTCTCTGCACAATTAGTCGCTTGGAGGAATGGAATCTGAGGTCACCTGCCAGGTTTCAGTATTTAACTAGAATTGTATGCCAATATCTGAAATATATGATCTCTACTTCCACAAGTAAAAGAATAATCAAGGCCAGTGGAAGACAGTAGACAAATCCAGGGCTTCCCTGGCCTCTTGAAATCACTGGCATCTGCATCATTCTGATACTAAGCTACCAGGTAACAGCTGCCAGGAGACAACTTTGAGATCTGGCCCCCATTCAATGATTGTGACATTCAGACATGACTGTTTTAGGGACTAGAGAAGATGACAGCTTTTCTTCTGTGCTGCGCAGTCAGAAAGTGCAACAGGCAGCTGGGTACATGTCATTGGTTTCTAGATATTTCTCCTATGTGGTGTGTGTCTGTGCATGCATATATGTGTATCTGGCATGACTAAGGGCAAAGCCATTTTTTAAATTTTGTTTTTCTTGTAGCCCAGTGAGGCACAACCTCTCCCCCACACTCTCGAGCCTCTAGCCGTAGCCCAGCCTTGTAAGTAGAAGTGCTGTGGATTTAGAGTGAGGGATTTTATCAATTGTGTTTCCTTTCTTATGGTTGTCCTTTATTGCCCTAAGAAGTAAGACATTAATGCAAGTCAACACCTATATAGATGACTTATTACCTGTTCTTAACCTGAGATTTTTCACATAGTAAGCATCATTTTTCAATTGCTCCTTTGGTAGGGTTCTGATGGCCCTACACTTTGGGGTGTCAATCTGTTTGACGACAAAACTGGATCAAAAACCTTGGAAATCAATCATGCTTGAGAAGCTAAATGGCTCTCTTTTCTCAGTTCTCATCAGTGGAAAGACATTGAAGGGAGTTGAAATAAATATTATTCACTGTTAATGATAATAAACCCTGGTAATTTCATATATTTGGTTTTAAATCTGTTGTGACTGGCTTTTAGGAAGCTACCTTTGAGATTCAGCCTCTTAATGAGAATATAGTGCTGCAGGATTAATAGTCAGATGTGTGCTGTAAATGCTACAGAGACAGGCTGGGACTAACAAAATAAAATGCAAAGTATAGATGGACATTTTGTAACTTTCACACCTTGCTGGAATTAATAAATTTCTATTTTTGTCAATGTTGGAGAGCTAAAGAATGTCAAATACAGAGTATCTCAGAATATGTTCATAAAAGGATCTGTACCTTCAGCTAAAATTTTCTTAGAGCCGATAACTGTCATTTTTTTTTTTTTTGGTACCAGGGATCGAACTCGGGTCCTTGCACTTGCGAGGCAGGCAACAGAACCACGGAGCTAAATCCCTGGCCCAACTGTCATATTTTTTGCAAAGCCTTTCACTCCCATTCTTTTGATCCAAGTCTTAAAATCCAAAGAACCTGTGCCCTTGGGACTCTTTCAATAGTTTTTGGAAATTACTTATCTTTTGAGACAGAGGATTTGAACAAAGTCATATAAAAAGTTGCACCTAATGAAACATAAATGGTATTTCTCCCTTGAAAGAAAAACAAAACAAAACAAAACATAAGTCCCAAACCACACCAACTATAAAAACAAAACATGCTTTATGTTATCACTGGCCTCATTGTTCTTAAACTTTTGGTGAAATCAGCTTGAATGAAGAATTTTTGGCCTTTCTCATAAAATAGTCCATTCAGCTAGTCTTGTGTCCAACGAACTCTTAAGCCATTTTGGCTTAAAAGTATTATTACTTTTTAAAATGTTCCCTCCCCAGAGAAATAATCATGGGCACAACTGTGGATTTTAGAAATAACTTTGGAGCCTATGAAATTCTTCATGTTGTTGTTCAGTTTTTCCTGCTCCAAGCTTCTCTCTGCTGCCCAGCCTCTTGCTGTAAACTAGGAACTGTGTTGTCTTTAACAATGTGGAAGGGGCAGTGAACAATACGAAGAGACAAGAACTTGCTTTTCAAATATTCACCTGAGCACAGTCTTTTTCCTTCCTTAGAGTTCGCCAGGCTTCATCACTTGGAATCAGTTTGTAGTCTTATCCATTCCTATCAGAGCTATCTGGGTGAGAAAGGTGATATTCTAGGACAGAAAGAGGCCAGGGAATCCAGCCTGATCTGTCCCTCAAGGTCATTTGTTTGCAGAATTTTTCATATCTGGTTCTTACTTATTAAGCAATTGTCAAATTCTGCTCATTCTTACTGGTGGGGCACTAGCTCTAACATCCAAGGAATGTACATCCTGAATTGACTCAATCAAGAAGCTGCTGCTGCTTCTTTTTAAAATTCTGTCTGAAGAAATTTTCCTGAATAACCATGCAATGTTTTTCTTTCTCGCTTTCTTTTCTCCTAGCAAAAATAAATAGATAAATAAATAAGGAGTGAGGGAGGGAATGCCAAGTTAGCAGGGAGGAAAATGAAACTTTTACATCAAACCTCATTCAAGGCAGAGTTTTACCTCCCTTCACCTTCCAGAGGAACACTCCAGTGTTGATTTATGCAACAGGAAACTAGGATTGACTAGAGCTCCTAACAATGTCTATTGAGATCATCACTCCCCAGCACACACAGACACCGGGAATTACAAGCAAAATGCAGATAATGTCCCCAGGGTCCCAAAGGGAGGAAAAGTAGATCTACTTACAAGCATTAGTCACAGAAAAACTATTGGAAGAATCCAAGTGATCTACGTGGTAATTCAGATGGAAAGGCTTCTCAGTGGTGTTCTGGTTGGTGTTGTATAACTGCACAGCAAAGCGGAAAGCGCTGTGCTCCTGAACTGTGTTTCTCATGAAAAGTCCACCTAGAAGCAAGAGGAACCCAGATTTGTTGTTTGTCCCTTCACCCTAGAACGAGTTAGAAATCGGGGAACACTACATATCAGATAACCCCTCAATTTTATGGAGATGGACAATTGAGGGTTGATTTTCAAGTTGTACGTTTCTCAAGTCTTATGAACTTAGATTTCGGCCAGCAGAAACCCGGTTTCTCTAAATTGAACAGAAGAGCTTGGAGAGAAGGGAGAAAAGGAAGAGGGGACCGCTTTGGGGTAGGAGGATAGAACCGAGAGCGGACTCGGTTCTTTCTTAGGCGGTAGTCTTTTCCCCTCCCACATTCTAGTCCCACTCCCATCCCCACAGCTGGTTCATTTTTTTTTTTTCAGGGGTAAAGGGATAGGTCGGAGGAAACAATTTCATTCCCCTTGCTGCCCCATACCATTCTCCATTAGCCAAGCTCTCAATCTCTCGATACAGGACATTAGTACGGTAACCGCATCAATTCTAACTTCTAGACTTGTAAATACAGACAGAAACAGAGAACTCCCTCCGGGCTCCAGGCGGACACAGCGGCAATTCATGAATTCCTGGTCTGCGTGACTTCAGCCGCTGGCCCCCTTAGTGCCTTGGCTCACCCCTTCCTACCTCATTCGCCGCAGACCCCGGCCACTGCTAAGGTCTGGGGGACCCAAAGTGGGTTCGACTTCCCTAACACTAGCCTGTCTTCCCGGAGCAGAAACACGGGACAGGGCGCCCCGGCCCGGGTAACGTGCCCTGGCTCGGCCAGACAGGCAGCATCACCCTGGGACAACTTCCAGCGGCTGCACGCACGCCATGGCAAAGTCCAGAGCAGCGAGAGCTAAAAGCCGGGACTCTTCGCCCCTTTGCAGCAGCCCAACCTTCTGCTCTTCTCCCCAGTTCCTCTCAGCTCGGAAAAACCCGGTAGTCCACCTGCGCCAGCCCCAGGAGACCCCTCTCTCGGCCCCGATGCTCCCCAGACTAGCCGGCTCCTTGGGACTCAGATCCCCGCGACCTCTGCCTGGTCCCCATACCCGGTCACCGTCCCCAGACTATGCAGGCACAAGGACCCGCGGCCGCAGTAGCCCCTCTGGGGCAGTGGTCTCAGATGCAGAAGAGCCTGCTCCACTGGCTGGCTCTCCGGCGCTTACCTATGCTGATGGTGTTGGGGAATCCTCCGTGAGAATGACCCAAAAGCCCCAGGACGAAAAAGAAGACTGCCCAGAGCACGCTTTGCCCCATTTTCTTCTGCCGGGCCATGTTATGCCTAAAACGAAGCTGAGAAGAGCATGGGCGCAACTCGAGAGTCGCCAAAATAATAATAGAAAAAGAAAAAGAATGCGCCGGCTCTTACACCCCCTCCTCTCAACTTGCTCTCTCGCTTCTCACTCTTCCTTTCCGCCCCACACTAGTCCTCCTCATCTGCCGCCTCCTCCTTCTCCTCTCTCCCCCTCCCTCCCTCCCTCCCTCTCTTACGCGCTCTCTCTCTCCCAGGATCTCTCACACCCCCTCCCTGCCCCCCACCTCACTTCTGTCTCCACACCAGTCTGGAAGGCGGGCTCATTGGCTATGAGCTGGGTTCGCCAAAGAGATTTTGCTGGGGGGCCTGGGGTGGGGGGGGGGGGGGGGGAGACAGAGACAGAGACAGAGACAGGGAGACACAGCAAGACAGAAGAGAGACAGAGGCAGAGAGAATCTAAGACAACAAACAAACAAAACACCGAAAACCAAAAATAAACAAACAAAAACAAAGGAAGGAGATAAAGAAACAAGAAAAAAATTATTTAAAAATGCCCGAGACCCGCCCCCCCCCACTAAGATGGTGGGGTCTAAAGAGGGGAAAAAGAAAGAGAGCGAAAAGGCTCAGAGCCGGTGAATTGGACTCTCCCAATTGGGCCGGTAGAGGGATATTGATCAAAGTTGATCTGACATGGAATCAAAGCCGCACACCGCTTAGCACCGCTGCAAACTGCAGCCCCGGACTGCAAAGCCTAGGCACTGGCGTTTGTCAGCACCGAAGATGGGATCAATACACTAGTCCTCACGTGGACCCGGCTTTGAAGCTACACTGCCACTGCGTTTGTGTGTCTGTCTTAAAGAAGGGGGTCTTGGGAGGGCTGTTAGTGGTTACTCCGGAGTCTTTGTGGACTCGAGAAGCAGTTCCCATCACAATGCGCCCCAAGGTGCTGCGCATGCCCGGTCTCTGCCGCTCAGTTTTTACAGCAGAGATCCGAGGGTGAGTGAACAACCCCCACCCACATCCCCGCAGCTTGGTGGGGTGTGTAGCTCCCCCCACCTCAGTGTTGAGGCGGGTTTGAAAAGCGCAGGGGTTGAGATGGGCAGTGCGGTGCGAACAGCTTTGGAGAATAGGAAAAAAGTATGTGCATGGAGGTGGTAACTAAAAGGTTAATGAAAAGGACGCTCAGTTCCACCGACCTAGGAGAGAAATGTGGTAATGAGCTAGACTGGGGGTGGGGATCAAAGTTAAGATTGGAGGAAACTGTCCCCTAGCTGCTTTGCTGCCTTTTGTTGCATATGTATGTAGCATCTCAGGCCCCAGTAATGGCCCCAGAGGTTACCCATCCTGCCCCTTTCTTTTTCCTCTCTCTGATCTACTGGAAGAAAGAACCTATGAAGTCATAGAGTCCAGCCTGGATCCCGGTGATGGGTGGTCTCTCCGAGGCACTACCTTGTGTATAAACCTCCTGGGTTTATTCCTCTCGGTAGCCACATTCTCCAGTGGTGAGAAAAAAAAAAGAATGCTCTTTATCTCCCAAGTCTTTCACTCCTACCCCACGCCAACTTAGAAAACACAAGATTTTATTCTCCCAGCACCTGCTATTCTTTTCATATCCTCTCCTCCTGGTCTAAGTGGTTAGTGAACCTTCATGCAGACTGATACACATAGGGCAGGATATAGAGAAAATGGGTTGAGGGAACCAGCCAATATCTTGATTCCTCCAGAACCTTCAATAGGGTAGAGCCTGGAACTATGGGGTTCAAAAGCCTTTGGCAATCAGAAAAATGGCTCTAGGCTCTTCCCAAATTTCTGTCCATTCTGATAGTGCATAATCTCTTTCTGCCCTGTCACCCACAGAAATCTTTTGTCTCCATTTTGACAGTCCATGGCCAGGAGTGAAGGAGAAACCTGGGAGTCACAGGAGAATCATTCTTCCAATGGAAGGAACAGGGGCAAAGTGGTGGCAGAGACAAGGCTGACTACCCCCTTGATAATGCAGAGAGTGACAGCGTCATGCAGGAACATCAGCTTAGGAGACAGGTCAGGGTTCAAGTCTACATTTCATCAAATACAGGCAGTGTGTGACCTTGAACAACTTTTAAAATCTGCTCCCCAGTTTTCTCATCTTCAAAGTGGAAATATTAATACTTCTTTCTTTAGAAAATGATTGTGAGGAGTAAATAAAATCATGAATGTCAAGGTATCTAATTCAGCGTCTGGCTCACAGAGGAATCAATAAATATGATTTTCCCAACTTCTTCCCGTTTGTCTCACCTTTTATGAGCATTTGCCCTCTTTTCTCCAAAAGCTCCTTGTTCTGTCATTTCCCTTTCTCTCCATGGTCCTCGAAATTTCAGATTCTGCTACCAAGTTTTTGTCAGTGTTCTACATCAAAATCTTCCCATTGTAGCTTCTCAAGGGCCCCAGGAGACAAGAGAGAATCTGGTTGATGAATCTCTACTAAAGTTCTGATGGCAGGCAGTGACAATTTAATATTAAATATGCCACATTTAGAGAACCTCTTTTCTGTGCCAGGCACTATATGTTCCTCCTTTTAGATAACATAGTTGCATTTTAATAGATGCTTTTAATGCCTTGACCCAAAGGAGTGACTCCAATGAGGTTTAACTTTTGATTTCAGGTGGGTGAATAACATATTTTGTTTGGGTGGGAGGTGGCTTTCAGCACACCTCATTTGACTCCTGAAAGCAGCTAGGTCCCCATATATGCTTGGCCAGCTATAAAAAGAGGTAGAAGTCTTGTAACAATCTTCACTGTCATTGGTTTGAAGAAACCTACTTCCTCTCATTAACAAAAGATGAGAGGAAGTAGGACATTTCAGTGCCTCTGCACTTGAAAATTCCTCCATTGAAGTCATCAATGTAAATGCCACCCATCCCTTCTGTTTTTATCCTCCCCTGCCCACTACCTTTTTCCTTCTCTTTCATGTGCTGCCAGTCTTTCAACTTTTAGCTGTCAGTAGCAGCTGTTGGCAGAGTTGGACTAGTCTCAACTGACCCAGCAGAGGCACAGTGGTAGACTAAGCATATTGCTGCTGGTTGAAAAGCCTGTATAATACATGCAAATTCTTTAGCAATAGGTCTCTTACCAAGAGAGCAATGAGACACTTTCTGAACTTCATCTCTGATTTTCCATTGAGAGGCTAGAGAATATACTAACAGCATCATAGCCATAAGAATTTGCCAACAAAGCTCCAAATCTAGCTTTCCCTCTGTGGTTAAGAGGTATCCCCACTGGATTCAGATTACCTTCTAGTCTTAGAACCTATGGTTCCTACTTTTAAAAGAAACAGTTTAAGTAATAAAGATAATTCGTTACAGTTCTTATTAAAATTTCAAAATAGTACTTCTCTTCATGACACTTTTACTTGTTTCAGGCTTAGGATAGGGTATTTGGATAAGCAGAAACAAATATTGGTGAGTGGAGTTTGAAAGTAAGGAATGGAATTTATACCATACTTTGAGTCTCATACTTGCTGACTTGATACCTTACAAATAAGTAAAATAGCAATAGAAATTATCCTGATTCATTGGAAAGTAACTTCTATACCTTTTAAATATAATGAAGCCAGGATATATCCTTTGCCTAATGGGAAGATAATTTTTTCATCAGTTGACTTGAAACTTTGATTTCTTCAACAAACACTTATTGACCACCTGCTATATGATAGACTCTTCAAAGAACTAGGAATAAAAGGAAGGAAGACACAGTTTCTGCTTTCAATGAATTTCAAATTCAAAAGAAGAGCAGATGCATTCACTGGCAATGACAATGCAATATGGTAAGTGATCTGAAAACAGGTTCCATGGCAGCATGGAGGAGGGTGTTTAAATATCTGAAACAAGGTACTTAGCTTATCCCAGATTCAATCCCAAAACATTAAACAGAGAAAACAGAACAAGGTGATTTCTAAGCATTCTTCCTGCTTTTATGTTCTATCATCCTAAGATTCCATGAGATGAGATAATTTTAGGGTTAGAAAAACCATCCAAACTGCAGCCTACACTTTAGTCAAGTAAGTAAGCTAGGTAAATTGATTTTTGTGATTGTCTCTTGCATTTCCATTCCCATATTCTTTGGGAACAGACAGTTCAGCCATATGTGGAGATTCATTTAGGTTGGGTGCAACATCTAAGAAAACTTGGGTCCATCATTCTAGTTCTCTGTCATCACATCTTCTCTATTATACCAGATTTCCAGAAACTTCTTCAGAAATCTGCACTGTGGGTGTCAGTCTTGGTATTGCTGAAGAAATCCACAGTGTTGAGGAGTTGAAATTCTAAGCACAGGCTCAGTTGGAGAGGCTTCTGGAAGGAGTATATGTGTAAGTCAGAGGAGAAGCCTCTGAGTTTTAGTTTAATATGTCTAGAAATGTATCTATAGCAACTTCCTGTCTTCCAACTTCACTTGGAGACAGTCACAACAAATGAGGAGTAGCCAAGGGAGCAAAAGCTTATCAAATTATTTTCAGCTTGGCTTGCTTTTTAATACATGGTAAGGGTGTTAGAACTCAATTTTTGCCCCGAAAACATCTCCAGGAACTGTTGGGAGGCACAGTTATTTGAAGGTAGATTTTTACTTTCAAATTTTTACTGCTATCACCTTCCTCCTTGGAACTTTCACACCACCTTCACCACCAGAGATGGTAACCATGGTTTGACCCTTTCAGCTCTTATATCAGTTAAGATGCTTCAGGCAGCAGACAAGAATACACCCACTAAAGCTAGACAATGATGGAGACACATAGGCTCATACACTGGGAAGGGCAAGAGATAGGGCTGGCTTGAGAATTTACTCAGTTGTTGGATAGTTTTATCCAGGATTTAATTTCTTTCCCTCCCTCCTTTCGGTTTCCCACATGACGGCAAAATGGCTGTAACATTTTTTAGTTTCATATCTGCATCATATCATTTTGTACTGATCAAACTAAATCATGTGACCATTCATGACTCATCTTGTATTGGCCAGGTATTGTCACGCCAAGTCCTCGATTGCCCGAGTCAATCACCATGGCATGGGGGACAAGATTATGCTCCATCTATAGAGTTAGCATAGGGTCAGGCTTCCTTTCCCCCAACAGACCATGTGATTGACACATAGGGAGAAAGATACAAAGGTTGGAAAACAACCACAATAACCACTGAAATTCCTGTCTTCCTGAAGATCTGCTCCCTGAGAATTAA